GGCACTTTTAAAGAAGCAACAATCTGAGGGACAAACTGTGCCTACATTATACAGGATGCAAAGGTGCAGCTTATACAAAGCCTTTTTTATCTCACCAAATATCCCATATGAAGACTATTGTTTTGTTGTTCTTTGTAACAATAACCAAGCAGCAGTCAGAGGTATAAAATATACATATATGACTATTAAATTTGGGATCATTTTAACAATACTGAATGAAACCATTTTACTAGTTTTAGGGTATTTGAACACATTTTGACTAAATGATGCATATTTTTTAGTAGCAAACTTTTCACAATAATGGCAGCTTTGGGCTTTCTGTCAAATCCAGTAGATTAACTAGAGTTCGTGTTGTTGTGACTAAACTGGTCTGTGATTACCTCTTTCCTTTTGATTGCTTCCCGAAGAAGCTCCACTACATCTTCACCCTCACAGTCTGTGGCCTTGAAGCCTTTGGTCCATGTTACAAGGATGCCCTGAAGATAACAAAACAATAAGTAATGATTTAAAATAGAATAATGTTTAATTTGACTGAATAACATTTCACTCTAAACATGACAGAAAAACGACTTATTAACTAAGTGTGTGTCCATTACGTGTGTACGTTACATTGTACAATACGCTTTGCCTTCTTGGTAATTTGGTTGTAGCTGGATTGATAGCAACGTAAAGTTTTTGCTTTGAGGAAAAAGGGAACATACTGCATCCAGGCTGGTCTGATGGCAGGGGAACGAAAAAGTGAAACCCAGTGGGAGTCGAGCGCTTTTCATTCCCATGTAGTCCAGGAAATCAGAGATGCAGTGCACAATGTGATCAAAAAGCTGGAAAGAGACATCATATAGAAAGAAAAGGTCAGGACTGCTAATGGCTTTTGGTGTTTTTTTCATGAGAGTTACAAAGATTCTTTATGGCACTGATGCAGGTTTGGATTTGGATCGTTGCATGTTTCAAATGTATTTTGTTGTAGCTAGAAATTAAGATGGAAAAGAGAAGAAATTGCTTTAAATGTTTAATCTGTTTTCATGGAATAAGCAGTTTTTAAAGACTGAGAATTATTTAAACATGATTATTGTTCCTGTTTCCTGCAACAAATACGCAAAACTGATCGGTACCTCTTCCCCTGTGCCCTGCATGACTTCTATAGGAATGGCATAGATTTTGTTATGCATCTCCACTGATCGTCTTTTCCCACTGCGAATCTTGACCAGAAGCACGCGGAAGTTTGTTCCTCCAAGGTCCAGAGCAAGGAAATCACCATTTTCTGTTAAAAAAGCCAAAGAAATTAGCATGAGAAGGTACAAAACATATTTCTACAACCTCTGAATAAATTTTATCTGTTGTACTGGTTATAATTTAGAATAAATATTGTTCTCTCTATGGTTAAAAAACTTGAAAATAGCAATTATATTTGACTGCCAGGTACAGAGAATTAGGGACAAAATATAAGACACAGAATTATTGGCTTTTAAATCTTAAAGTGTTTGTCTAAATGTTAACCTTCATGTATTTATTGCCATTAGGCATCACAGATAAGTAGTGCTAGTTTATCAAGGTGAGGCCAACGTTTACTCGTGTGTGCTTCTGTGTCTGGTAATTCACCTATTTTCAGAAAACCTTTTGGAAGAAACACATAGATGAGTCAGCATAAACTGACCATTTGTACTGTTACTGGTTATTGGATTGTGAATATCCTTTCATGCAGATCCATAAAGTCCACCTCATACACTACCTAAGTAGATACATAATTAAAAGCAGTGCTTGTGCTGGGTAAACATGTCCAGCTGTTGGGTTTTTAAATATCTGAAGCCTGTTGTTTGACTCTTTGTGCCGTGAACTTTACTCGAGCTTTTTGTGTTAGCACAAGCGCTGCTTTCATTATTACCAAAAACCAAACATATAGTGACTGATTGTTTCATGATACATTATGTAGTTTAGTAGTTACTTTGAGATGACATATAGACTCGCTTTAATTATTGATAATGCTGTTTTTATTGTGGTAAATAATGCAACTGTTTGTTTCACCAAATACTGATATTGTATTTTACAAACACGTAATAATTTTACCTGATGCAATGGTGGCCTTATTACAGGTAATACACAGGAGTATAACACATGGTTTCACTATAGACCACGC